GAAACCTGTATTCTGTGCTGGGGAGCAGTGCTCCATTGAGAGAGAGAGAGAGAGAGAGAGAGAGAGAGAGAGAGAGAGAGAGAGAGAGAGAGAGAAAGAGAGAGAATGAGAGCGAGAGGCAGAGCGAGAGACTAAATACTTGCTTAGTGCAGAAGTAAAGGAGGAACATGGCCCCCCCAAAAATCAGACTATGTTGATATTCTTTAAAAGCATCAATATAGTCATCAAGGAATAAATAAAAACCGTTGGTAGACTTTCTTACATTTACCGTTTTTATTCTGAATTGATTTCGATGTGGGGACACCTATCTTTTAGTGTTTAGTTTTAGTCTTGTCACACTTGAGAGACAGAAATGAATATGACCTAGTTCCCTGTACCCCCCCCCCAGAGCAGCTCCTGGGGAGAGAGACTCCCCCACACACACACACACACTACAGCAACACACTATGTAATTAGTGTTGGCATAGAGGGGGCTGTGGCGAGCGTTGGTGTGGGAGCTCAGAGCAGCACGTTCCTCTGAGGGGGAATAGAGGAATCAAATGAGAATGTGGATACAAGGTGGGGGATAGAGAAATCAGCTGGAGGATAGGAGAGAGTGATTGCTGAGTAAGGGGTAGTAAACAGAAAAGACACCACACTGAGGAGAATGGGAAGATGGAAGTGGATGTGGGGGGAGGTTGACAGGCAGGGAAGGAGCCCTCTCTGGAGGCGGAAAGGGGCAGGACCACTTCCGGCTGGGGAGGGGTTAGCTGACAGTTTCAGACCTAAGAAGAGGCTTGAAGAGAGCAGACGCCTTCTGGAGTCAAAAGGACGAGGTGAGCGAAGGTGCCCCCCTTAGTGAAGGCTCTGTGGGGGCCTCTGGGCTGCAGCTTCGACGTGCTTGACTCCATTCGCCCCTAAGGTTTGAAGGAAACCTGCTAGGCATTCAGGAGCTAACTGCATCGAAGTGATTGGGTTTAGAGGTGCCTGGACCCGAATCGTACGGAAGAAAGGAGGGGGTAGAATCTCCTTTGGGCCACAGAAAGGAGGGATGCAGACTCGTTTGATAATGCAGAAAGGAGAGATCAGCAAATCATTCAGAAGACAGAAAGAAATGAGCAGAACCCAGTTTGGGAGGGCGATGGGTGATTTCAGGACCCCGTTAGGCTGGAGAAAAGGGTCAGTATCTGGTTTGGGCCACAGAAAGTAAGGATCAGGACCTGGAGAAAGGATGGGTCAGAATCCCATTTGAACAGCTGCATGACCTGGCTCAGACGGGAGGAAAGAGGGGTGGTACCCGGTTGATTTTGGTTTGAAAAAGCAAGGGACAGAACCTGGTAGAGTTCAGGAACGAGGAATACACAAAAGCATAATACCGTTGGATTTGTGGTTGGGGTATCCATATTGCAGAAAGGGCGGGACGGGTCACTTGCAGACGTGGATGTGGGGGAGCGGTGTTGGGGTAGGGGCGGTGCTGGGGCTTACTGCAGAGCCACGGGAGGGGGCATATTAAAGGAAGGGGAGGTGCGGAGAAATACTGCAGAGTGGAGGAAGGGGGCTTATCTGGAAGGGGCGGTGATTGGCTGTACAGCTGAGGAGAGGTGGGTGGTGTTGGGGAAGGGGCGGTGCAAAGAGGTACTGCAGAGCGGAGGGAGGAGACCGGTGTTGGGAGAGGGGTTGGACTGAGATGTGGTGCTGTTTAGAAAGAGTGGGTCAGTGGTGGGCCGAGATGCTCTTTTGCTCTGAGAGCAGGGAGCATATGTCAGATTGAGGTGGTCAGACTGTCTTATCCACCAAAGCTGCTTGTGCGCCGAGAGCCTTAGATTGGGGTGCCCCCCCCATCTGATTGGTGCGCACGCGCACTATCAAGTTGCGGTAGTGTGTGTGTGTTGGTGTGTGTGTGTGTTGGTGTGTGTGTGTAGGGTGAAGGGGCGGGGTGGTAGAAATGACTTATGGTTTCTTGTAGGCAAAAGGATCTAGGCTTTGGAAACCAGACGGTTTGGGTTTGTAGATCTGAGAATCCAGTAGTTGAGGGTTTGGGGCCCGAGGTTAGATGAGCTTCCCTACTCCTTCAAGATAGGCAGGAGGTCTGGTGAATCTCTACCTCCTTCCTATTCTGCCCTAACTCAAACCCCTTCCCATCAGGCTCAACTGTTACCTGGCCTTCCAGAAAAATGGATAGGAGAAATGACTACGGTTATAGGATGCCCCCGTTCCAGGTGAGGCCTCTCTGCATTCTCACCAGCCCATCTGCCCCATCCTAAACTCACTTCCTGCTCTTGAGCCCCCGACCACTCTTTAGTTACGTAATTTCCGGCCTAGCCTGTCTTAGTCCTCCCCTGCATGGTGGAGGAGGAGGAGAAAAAAACCCTGCCTGTCTCTTTCTTTTGCCCCCTTCCTCTTCCCTCCCCCTCCCCTTCTCACTGCTCAGAGGGAGAACTTCATGGGAATGGTGGGCTGTAGGATGGATAAGCAGGTCATAATTCTAAGTGTGCAGGGCCCTCTGCCTCCCCTTGGGAGCTTGGGGCTTCACTTCCCTCCAGATGTACAGGTTGAGACCACTGAAGAGGACAGTGTCTTGCTGATGCACACTCTCTTGGCGGCAACAAAGGAACCCCTGGCCACGGACCCGCCAGTTGCCAACCGGCCTAAGAAAAGCAAAACCAAGAAGGCCCCTATTAAGGCTATTACTAATACCATATCTGCTGCCCCTCCAGGTCCACCTGCCAATGTGATTACCACTAACAAGCCTCAAATACTTTTGCAGGCTTTAAAACTGCCAATCATCCCCCAGATCAACCAGGCCTCAGCTACCACTGAGGCAGCCAGTACACAGGCTTCTTCAGTTACCACTCAGCCGAAGAAAGCCAACAAGACAAAGAGAGTCATTGTTAAGGCAGCCCAAGGCACCCAATCTCCAACTGGCAGTGAGAATGTCACTACACAGATCAAGTCACCTTTGCAGTTCCTAAACCTACCAGTCACCCCACAGACTACACTTGCCAGTGAGTCAGCCAATTTCCAGGCCTTCATAGTCTCCACCAAGCCTAAGAAAGCTCCCAAGGCTAAGAAGGCTGCCAATAAGGCCCTAGCTAGTGCCACTGAGATTTCACAGGCTTCAACTACTACCTACCCAGCTACCACCCAAGGCCAAATTACCAATGAGACAACCAATACCAAGGCCACAGTAGCCTCCATTCGAACTAAAAAAGCCTACAAAGACAAGAAGGCAACTGTTAAAGGCACAAATACTGACCCAGAGCTCCCAGAGGCCGCAAATGCCACTGAGAGAGCTATCAGGCAGATTGAGGCCTCAGCAGAAGCTCTCCAGCCCCCAAAATCCAAAGGCAAGAAGGCTACCAATAAGGCTATAAATTATGCCTATGAGATCTCTGAGGCCCTACTTGTTACTCAAATGGTTGCAAACCAAGCCCTAACAGCCACCTTTCAGGTTAAGAGAGGGTCCAGGGCCCAGAAGACTGCTACTAAGTCCAGGACGGCTGACAGCCAGATTCAAATTGTTGACCAAGGAGCCCAGGCCAAGATGGCCAGCTCTCAGACCAACATAAGTGCCTTTGAGACTCAGGTTGCTGCTGCTGTCCAGGCCCTGGCAGATGACTACCTGGCTCAGCTGAGTCTGGAGCCCACAACCAGGACCCGGGGCAAGAGGAACCGAAAGGTGAGATCTCTGACACACCATCCTTAACTTTGCCCTTTGTTTCCATTCTTATCCTCCTAGTTTGTTCATTTGTTCTATAAAATTCTACTGAGCCTCTTTACTCTGACCCAGTTCCTGTGCTCACATAGGCTGTGAGAGGTGCTGAGAAGAATGTGCTAGAGTTCCTAGTCCCTGGCAGTTCAGATTGGTGGGGAAATAAGACATTCATACACTTAACTACATCCTGTATATAATTCAACTTTTATTTACATAGTAGTTACCATGTGCCAGGCTTTGTGTTGGGTACAGTCACACAGGTTATGTTCTTATGTTTTGAAAGTAACTCTTACAAGCTAGGGATCATAGGTCCCAGTTTTACAGATAAGAAAACTGAGTCCCAGAGAGGTGAAATGACTTGTCCAAGGGGTACAGATAGCAGAATAAGTGGTGACTAAAGGAAGTGGAATCCCAGGCTCGGCCCTTGGGTTGCTCCTGTCCTGGCAGGGAAATGAAATGCCTTCCTGAAGACAGATGAAAGACAAGTCTAGGATTCAAGGTGGCCAATAGTTACGACAGGACCCACTACAGGAAGGATTTAGGGGACTTTCAGGAGGAGGCAGTATAAGGAGACAGAGCCATCTCTTTCACCTGGTGACCCTGGACCTTACTTCTTTCTGGTGATACAGTCCAAGCATCTGAATGGGGATGAGAAAGGTGGCGGTAATTACAGGTGGATCCGATGGGGCCGGAGGCCTCCGCCACCCCGAGATGTGGCCATTTTGCAAGAAAGGGTAAGAATCCTGTTGCCCAGTCTCTTCTTCACCTGCCCTCTTCTCTGTCATCCTTCCAAGTTTTCTGAAAACATATTGAGATTTCCCCATGTATTCCTCTTCTCCCAGGCAAATAAGTTGGTGAAATACCTGTTGGTTAAGGACCAGACAAAGATTCCCATCAAGCGCTCAGGTAGAGTCATACCAATCCTCCTCCCTGAGCTTTCCTCTTTACTCCCCTCTCCCCCCTGCCATGGGGCTAACCATTTACCTTTATGGCCTCCTCATCCTCTCATATGTCCTCCCCTACCCTCCTCACACCTGCCATGGCTGGCATCTCAATTTAACACAGTTTAGGACTTAAACTGCACTGACCCCACAGGGCTGGCAAAAGGAATGCAGCTCTGTGGCCCCTGCTCAGCTCAGTTGCTCCAACCTCTCCCTTCCTGCAGACATGCTGAAGGACGTCATCCAAGAATATGGTGAATATTTCCCAGAGATTATTGAACGAGCAAGCTACGCTTTGGAGAAGGTGAAGGGGCAGCCTTGGGGGATGGGCACAACGGAGAAGCCTTGAATCGAACAAAGGCATACATGTCCTTTCTGGGGGGACTACAGAGACTTGCTAACCCAGACCCATCACTGTATTGATGGGCAGACAGTGGTGTAGGGAAAGGCATAGACTAGCCCAGGGTCACACAGCAAGTCAGTGGTAAAAGCACAGCTAGAACTCAAGCCACCCAGCTTAGCCCTGGCTTCTGTTCACTGCAGGATATGTCCTGTAATGTATTTCAGATGCTCACCTCTCCCTTCCATTCCTCATTCTGTCTCTGTAGATTCCCACTAATCACAAAGATGATGTTGATAATAGCACATTTGTTGCCTGTTTGCTGTGTGCTGGCCACTTAGCTAAGTGCTTTATTTGCATTATCTCACTGATTTCACACACACACACACCCTAGGTACACGGGGAGCTGTGGGACGCTTAGGAAGTTCATTGATGCCTAGGCTGAATTTTGTGATCTGACAGGTTATTCTTTTACTTGGCAGATGTTTCGAGTCAATCTGAAGGAAATTGATAAGCAAAGTAGCTTGTATATTCTCATCAGCACTCAGGAATCCTCTGCAGGCATACTGGGAACGTAAGCTGGTAAAGGGCTGGGGTGGGAGGGAGGCTTCTGCTTTTGTCCCCACACCTCCTTGGAGAGTCAGGAAAGATGGCCTGAAAAGCCCCCGTTCCAGCTCCCGCATGTAGTTGGAACCCTGCACACAATAGTGGTGCCTGATTATGATTGACTGAAGGGTGCGGAAGCCTGGGGCAGGGCATTCCTACTGTCCGGTTGTCTGTTTCTCTGGAAGCTTCCCAGGAAAGCAGACCTGTCATTGCTTGTCTCTTCCTACTGGCCTTGGTAGAATGGTTCTCAAGGAAGGGCTTCCTGGTGTGGCTGGATCATGATACTTGAAGGGCAGGAGCGTCCCTGGGGCTGTGCCTAGAATTCTGTTAGGGCTGAGGGCTCTGGGAGAGAAAGAAGGGACTCACATTGACTGAGTGCTTGGGTCCTACCAGGTTGACAGGATTTCTTCAGTCCTCTCAGCAACCTGGGGAGGGGAGGATGTGATTTTCCCATTTTACTGTCTAGGAGATGGAGGCTCAAGAATCTATAAGTGCCTTGCCCAGGGTCACATAGAGCTTGAAGCATAGACTGGGCAGAAGTCTCTGATATCTGAGGAATCTGGGAGAGGCTAGCCTAGTGAGCTGGCTGGTGTGTTTTTTGCAGATGGCTGCTGGACATAAACATTCTCTCTGTCCTATTATTCTCCTAGGACCAAGGACACACCCAAACTAGGTCTTCTCATGGTGATTCTGAGCGTGATTTTTATGAATGGCAACAAGGCCAATGAGGGTGAGTGGCTTGGCATGCAGCTGAATGGGTGGCCCCCGTTGGAATTCCACGTGTTCATTTTCTGTCCCTGTCTCCTCTTGCCTCCCCTTGCAGCTGTCATCTGGGAGGTGCTGCGCAAGTTGGGGTTGCACCCTGGGTATGATTGTTCTCTCTCAGCACTTGCTGTCCATGTTGTCCTTTGGGAAGAGAGGATGGTCCCGGGATTGTATCAGCCTGGTGGTCTGGTGGAGTGGGTGGGGGTGCCCGACTGGGTAGAGCGCCCAGGGCTCTGACCTGGGTGGATGGGGAAATGGTCCTGAATTCTCTGCAATCTGTGTCCCCTATGTCCTCTACCTGCTTTAAGATGAGATATAAGATAGACCTTCAGGGCATCCCTGACAAAGAACCATGTGGCCTGCTTCTAGTGACCATGTATGTGTTAACTACTTTCCTGGCTTCATTGAGATGGCCTCATGTGCTGGAGAGTTCTCTTCCACTTTGGGAAATGCCTCTGCTCTCATTTGGGAAGTTCTGACCTCTGTTCATGGGTTATTTTTCTCATTGTCAGGGTGAGGCACTCGCTCTTTGGGGAAGTGAGGAAACTCATCACAGACGAATTTGTGAAGCAGAAGTAAGTGGTGTTTTAGCGCTTTGTCAGGCCCTGAAGTGTGGGTGTGCTGGTCTGGTTCAAAAAGTACTTGTGTAGTCCTTTTCTTACACTAGCTTTAAAGGTATGGGCATCCTGTGCCCTAAAACTGAGTCCTATCCACAGTTCCCATGAGTGGACCATTCCAAGGCTGGGCCAGATCAAACACACGGCCATTGTATGGGGTGTGCTCAGAGCAGGGGACCCGAAGAATGGCTCCTCTGTTTACAACACACCCAACAACAATGTGGGTTTACTCCTCACAGATGGCAGGATACTTTAGCTTTCCTGTGACATCATGCTCTATACATGCTTCCGCAGCAGCACCAAGTGACTACTCTGCACAGAGCCAAAGGGAAATGGCTCAATACTGGAGGCCAAGACCATGAACTGTGTTTGGGAGTGAGTCTGGGGAAGGAAGGTCTTGGAAATCCTTCTCCCAGGAGCTGAGTTTATATTTGTTTAATGGAAGTTGCCACCTGGTGTCCAGTGGTTAGTCAACAGATTTGCTTGGTTAGAAGACAGTTTCATTTCCTTTCTCCAAGGTACCTGGAGTACAAGAGAGTCCCCAACAGCAGACCACCTGAATATGAGTTCTTCTGGGGCTTGCGCTCCTACCATGAAACTAGCAAGATGAAAGTCCTCAAGTTTGCATGCAAGGTAACAGGAATCCGGCCCTGACTTGGCAATATTAAGGGTATGGGTTGCCCCTGATTGGGGCAGGCTATGTGGAGAGATGGGCAGATACAAGGCAGCCTGCAGTTCATATATAAACATGGAATTTCATTTATGTGGCAGAGTGCTGCTCAACATAGTTTACATTGTTTCATTCATACTTTGCATTAGTCTGCTTAGGCTGCCATAACAAAATACCATAGAATGGGTGGCTGAAGTGACAAATTTATTTTCTCATGGTCCTAGAGGCTGGAAGTCCCACATTAAGGTTCAGCAGAGTCAGTTCCTATTGAAGCCTCTCTTCCTGGATTGCAGACAGATGCCTTCTTGCTGTGCCCTCACATGGTGGGAGAGAGCCTCTTCTTATAAGGACACCAATTCCATTGGATCAGGGCCCCACTGTTATGACTTGATTTAGCATTACCTCCATAAAGGCCCTATCTCCAAATACAATCACATTGGGGCCTGGTGCTTCACCATGTGAAATTTGGGCGGGGGGTGAGGGGAGACACAAACATTCAATCCATAACATTTTTACTCTCTTATCATTTCCCATATTACAGATGAAGACACTTACGCTCAGCGAGGTTAAGTAACTTATCCAAGGTCACAGCACCTAAGTTATCAGAGCTGAAATTGGATCTCAAGACTGACCCATGCTAAAGCTCCAGTAACTAAGAACTTAAAAAAAATACTGCTATTAGTTTTATATAAAGCCCATAGTAGGTACTTAATATATAATTATAAATGTTATTTTACTTATAATGATTATTATTCCCATTTCAGGTACAGAAGAAAGACCCCAAGGACTGGGCCGCTCAGTACCGGGAGGCAGTGGAGATGGAAGTACAGGCTGCAGCTGTAGCTGAGGCTGAGGCCGAGGCCAGGGCTGAGGCAAGAGCCCAAATGGGAATTGGAGAGGAAGCTGTGGCTGGGCCTTGGAATTGGGATGACATGGATATCAACTGCCTAACAAGGGAAGAGTTAGGCGATGATGGTCAGGCCTGGAACAGAATTTCACTTGAAATTGAGGCCCAAGCCCAAGAAAATGCAGATGCCAGCACCAACATCGACTTCAGCAGAGGAACTAGTGTGGGAGCTAGTTTCCACGATACTGCTAGTATTAGCATCAGTAGTGCAACCAATGGTGGCTTTGGTGGCAGAGCTGGCAATAGTTTCGATGGCACACTCAGCACCAGTGCCAGCTTCAACAGCAGAGCCGGCCTTAGCTTTGGTGGCACACAAAGCACCAGCTCTAGTTTCAGCAGTGAAGCCAGCATTAGCTTTGGTGGCACCCCTTGTACCAGTGCCAGCTTCAGTGGTGGGGTCAGCTCTAGTCCCAGTGGTCCACTCATCACCAGTACCAGTTTCAGCAGTGAAGCCAGCGTTAGCTTCGGTGGCACCCCTTGTACCAGTGCAAGCATCAGTGGTGGAGTCAGCTCTAGTCCAAGTGGTCCACTCATCACCAGTACCAGTTTAAGTAGTGGAGCCAGCTCTGGCTTTGGAGGCACACTCAACATCACTGCTGGCTTCAGTAGTGCGCTCGTTACCAGTACCAGCTTTGGCAGTGCACACAGCAGCAGTGCGGCACTTAGTGGTGCACTGAGCACCAGCACTGGCTTTGGTGGCACACTCAGCACTAATGTCTGCTTTGGTGGCTCTCCCAACTCCAGTGCCAGCTTTGGTGGTACACTCAATACTAGTATCTGCTTCGGTGGCTCTCCTAGTACCAGTACTGGTTTTGATAGCATACTCAGCACCAGCATCTGCTTTGGTGGCTCTCCTGGCACTATTGCCAGCTTTGGTGGTGCACTCAACACCCGTGCTGCTTTTAGCAGTGCTGTGAGCACGAGTACTGGCTTCAGTGATGCACCTACCTCCAACTCTGGCTTTGGTGGTGTGTTCAGCACCAGTGCTGACTTCAGCGGGGCACTTAGCACATCTACTGACTTTGGCAGTGCTCCCAGCACCAGCCTCTGCTTTGGCAGTGTGTCTAGCACCAACTTATGCTTTGGTGGCCCTCCTAGCACCAGCACCTGCTTTAGTGGAACTACCAGTGCCAGTTTTGGTGATGTACCCAGCACCAGTGTGGGTTTTAGCTTTGGCAATGGGTTAAGTACCAGCACTGGATTTGGTGGTGGACTGAGCACCAGTGCTGACTTTGGTGGTGGACTGAGCACCAGTGCTGGCTTTGGTGGTGGACTGATCTCCAGTGATGGCTTTGGTGGTGGACTGGGCACCAATGCTGGTTTTGGCAGCACACTTGCCACCAGTGCTGGCTTTAGTGGTAGCTTCAGCATCAGTGATGGCTTTGGTGGTGGGCCTAATACCAGCTTCGACGGAGGACTGAGTACCATCATTGGCTTTGGCAGTGGTTCCAACATCAGCATTGGCTTTACTGGTGAACCCAGCACCAGCGCTGGCTTCAATGGTGGACCCAGTTCTATTGTTGGCTTCGGCGGTGGACTGTGCACCAGTGCTGGCTTCAGCGGTGGACCGAACAGTGGTGCTGGCTTTGACGGTGGACCAAGCAACAGTGCTGGCTTTGGTGGTGGAGCCACCAGCCTTGGTGCCTGTAGCTTCTCCTATGGCTAGTGAGGTTTCAGGTAATTACAGCATTTCCACAGCCAAGGCCCATGGGTTGGATAGAAGAGCTGGGAGATGTTATAAGAAACCCCGAAGTGGGATGGCACGGTGGGGAGATGAGGACAAGGAAAGAAGTATGAGAAAACAGTATATTTGGTGCTAAAATACGTTTCTGTTTGGAATTTGTTTTCAGGTTTATTTCCCATGTTTACAGATACCACTAGAGTTGCAGCAGTCCTTCCCATGGAGCCAAGATCCCTCCTTGGAATCTGTGTCCACACATCAGTCTAAGCAGATACTTCCAATCAGCTGAAGGTGGCATGCTATGAAAAATCTGGTTGCTAATCCTGCTTTGTTGTTTGCTTTTTTTGTGTGCTGTCATATTTTAGTATCAAAGTTACATTAAATTTGCAAAATTAATTGGAGTTTTTTCTTTTATTGTGTACAGGTTGTCATGAGTGATATTTTGGGTTCATAGAAGAGCTAGAGATCAGCGTAGCTCTTTGGGGAAAGTGAGCTCGAGCTTTAGGCTAAAAGGCAAGTGTGACTTCAGTGGGATAGAGACCTGGAGAAGCATGGCAGGCAAGTGGATAATAGCTTGAACAAAGAGAAGGAAGGGGAATGCCTGGAACAAAAGGCAAAAAGAGAGTTCTGGACAGCATGTATAGATTCATTTTGAGATGTTTGTGTAAGAGTGGAGGGATAAGGAGGTAAGTACAGGTGGACACAGGAACAAGGGAGGGTTTTACTGGCATAGGAGAGAGACCTGAGCATGTTGCATATGCTGGGGGCAAAAGCCAATAGAGAAGGACAGGACATAGATAAAATAGTCAGGAATTGACTGAAGTAGCTCATCCCTGACAAAGTGGGATGGGATAGAGTGCCGGAAAAAAGAGGATGCCCCTGACTTTGAACAGGATTTAAGGGTGGCTGTGGAAGCAGATAAATGTAGATTTCCTTCAAGCAGTGGTCAGCAACCCTGTAGTAGATTCCAACAACAACAAAAGATGGGCAATGTGGATTATTCAAGGTTTGGGTCTTGCTGGTGGCTGTGATAGACAGACAAAGGAACAAAGACAGTGAGCATATGAGTCTGTCTTTTTAGCACTGGGTAACTGCCCAGAAATACTATTGGGCTGTTGGAAAAGTCATGACACGTTTTTGCAATGAAAAACATAGAACATAGAAAAAATCCATCATGACTTTTCCGACAACCCAATACATGCATGCATGCTGTGTGGGAGGCACGCTGCTAGGGATTCTGTGGATTACAGTTGTAAGGACTAGGGGTCAGCGGTAAAATCGTGGGGATGCTTGTATTTCAGAAGTCACACTGGGGAGAAGTCTAGATGATGTCAACATCCATGGAGTGGGTGATCAGTGAAATTGAGGGGACCCCGAGACTGGGAGACCAGGGTACTATTTGGATTATTTATATGGACAGTGATATCACTCAGGATGGCAGCAAGAGATGGTGGAGAGAGGAGCACTGTGGTCCAAGTGCAGCTTCTCTGAGTATAGGGATGATGGTGTCATGCCCCCAGCCACACTGCCCGCCAAAGAACAAGGCCCATAGGCAGTCACAGAGACCTAGCTCCTCCCTCACTTTTAGAGGTGCTACCTCAAAACCCTTCCTTCCAGGAAACGCTCACCCATTCCACACCCCACAGCAACAGAGCCACTTCACAGGGTCAGGATCTTGATCCTGTGGGAGAAGCCTCACAGTGGCCTAGTCTCCCCTCTTATAGGCACTAAAAGAAGTTTTTATTGATACGTGAATAAAAATTAAGAAAAATAGTTTCATCCAGAGCTAGACAGCTCCATGGTTATAGCTAGAAATCAAGACCTGCCTTGGAGCTGCTGAGGACTTCTTCACTGGAAGCAGGGCTTTCCCAGGGAGGCCAAGTCCAAAGTTTTCTAAGGGTAGGAGAAGAGCAAGGACAGCTTCTCTTAAAGGTAGAAGACAGTGAGGACAGAGGCAGTTTGACCTCTTGGAAAGGACTCAGTAGTGGGCAGGGACGGTGTCCAGGGCTTCCTCAGGTTCTCGGGTGATGTCCACATTCTGAGAAGAGAAAGCCCAGGCTTAATAGGAAGGAGACAGCAGTGTGGAGCCCCAGCCCCTCCCCTGTCTGTTGTCCTCACTGCCAGGCTCCCCTCCAGCCAGGCCTGGATCCTGACCCTTTTCTCAGACAAGCCTGGGGGAATCCGCCTGAGGCCTTTTGGCAGGGGTTGCTCTAGCCCCGCATCTCCGGTGCCTTCAATGCGGTGGTTCCAGCATTCCTGGGTGCTGGTTATTCTACTCGATGGTGTGAAACACCCAAGCTCTGAGACACGGGTGGCTTTTCTGTGGGAACAGGTGCTTTCACCACATGCCAGCTTAGGCCATGGAGTCCCTCACCTACCTCAGGCTTCTCCCGGTGTGTGTTTACGGCCTCCACATTCAGGTAGATGGATTCCACTTGACAGCCTCAAAAAGAACAACCCGTCCGTCCATCCATAAACTCCCAAGGAAAGCACAGGTCTTCCCTAAGATGTCATTACCTCCCCCACCCATCACCACCCACACCCCCCAGTGCCACAGTTTGTGCAGTTGTGACTGCCCTGTGCTCAGGGGAATTTAGACCAGCTCTGTGATGTGTGGGGAGGACACCAGTCCCAAGAGGCAGCCAATGGGATGTCCTCCCAGCTCTTCCCCTAATAGTCCCAGCATTCTCTGAGCCTCAGTTGCTCAACTGTCAATGGGCAGGAAATGAGAAGAGATGATCTCTGGGTCGTCCCTCAACTCCTATGGACAGCAATCTAATCTATATAACAATGATGGAGCTCTGCAGATCCTCAGAGGTGTGTCAGACGGTGAAGTGCTGGAAGATTCCTGGGGCCATCATTCCCAGGTAAAGTTTACTTAAAGGACAATTTTTACAGGTGTGGAAGGTCACAAAGGAGTTCTGGGGAGCCTGAAGGAGGGGAAAGGTATCACTGGGGCCTGGGGCTGGCAGAGGAAGCCCAGTGCCTGTGAAAACTCCCTCAGTTCCATCCCTGTGGATTGCACTCTGCTCTGGGCTTCGGTACATCGTCTGCCCTGTTCACACCCCAGAAGAGATTTGAGTCTGTCTCTTCCCTGGTCATAAACATTTCACAGCTAACTAATATCCCGAGAGAGTCTAAACTGCCCAGGCTGGTCTTTGAGACCTTTCTTTAATCTGGCCCCAATGTACACTTATTCTGGTCCCTTTTGTGGAACCCTTTCCTCCTCCTACAGCTTGGTGCTCTATGCACAGTGCTTTGGTAGAGACAGAGAAAGTTGGGGCCAGGCCCTAGTTTAGAGTCCATCTTAGTCCTTGTGCATTCTCATCTTGCTACCCCCCGTCCTGCTTCCACCAGGACATCTAACGACCTACCCAAGGAACCTCTCCCAGGACTCTGCTAGGCAAATGGTAGACACTGGAGGCATGCTCATGGCCTCTGTGTGCCTTTCCCCAGATGAAGGTGGGGGCTCTCACCATAAGCCACAGGTGTGAGTTTGAGCACCGTGTGCAGAGGGCACTTGAGATATGGCAGCTCATCTAGAAATGGGGAGAAAGCAGCTGTCAGAAACAGGGTTCTGGAGAGGTCAACAAATCCCCCAGCATGCAGGTTTACAGCACTCTCCCCTGTCCACACCCCTTCCCCAGGGTGGGCCTCCCCAGGGGCCCACTCCCCCGCACCCTGCAGGGGGCAGTGCTGAGAACAGGGTGGTCAGAGTGGAAGAGAGCAGAGAGGAGGCAGGAGGGCCCTGGGGAATGCAGGCAGACTGTGGGTCCCCCATGAGGGTCAGGCTGGCCACCTTGGAGGTGGCCTACCTCCTCACTCACAGTGCAACCACGACACCAAGGCAGGCCTTCCTCCTGCCCCAGCCTCCCCCACCACAAAGGCCCACACTACACCTCAGCAAGTGCTTTCTGAGACCCTACTGAGTGCCAGGGTCCTCAGCATGCACCTGGGCAGCTCCCACAGCTTTCTCCCCACCCAGGTCTGTGTCCTCTGACTCCTCTCACCCTTGTTGATGGACAAGCATTCCTCGATTCACTTGTTTCCAGTTATTGACTTCTATGCATTAAGTTTTCCGAATAGTCACTGACCATTTCGTGTATGGGCTTAGGTTTTATTTACCTGACAGCCCGGAGGGGAGGGGATGATCACGCCCATTCAATGCCTGAGGAAATTGAGGCTCTGAGAGGGAAGACAGTCGCCCTAAGGCACACAGCTAGGAAGTGGCAGCACTGGGCCTTGAACCCAGAACCCTCTGAGTTCAAAAATGTGCTCTGCCCACTGCAGTCTGCTGCCGCTGCCTCCGAGGGGCTCACAGGGTAATGGGGGTGACACCCCCACCTCTCACCGCTCTCTGATGACACCCACCTTGGCTGCCCTTACCGCTCCCAGAACCCCACCCCTCACAGCTTCCCACACCTGAGGTTCATCATGAGCTTTAAGGGGCCTGCCAGCGTGCTCCCAGCCCCCTGAGACATCCGGTTTGGCGATTTCCTGGGCGTCCATCCCACTCCTCCTTGTATCTTTGTCACCATCACCGCCAGGCCCTGGGCCCGGCACTTTGGTACACTATCTCCTTCCAACCTCGCTGATACTCTGCAGGGGTTAACTTCCTCATGGCACATGTGACAGATCAGTCTCAGAGAAGGGAAGCGACCTGCCTGAGGTCTCTGACCCAGCTCTGCCACCGCCTCCACAAGTGACCGTGCCTCCACAAGTGGCCGTGGCCCCACCTTTTCTCTCCCCGGCCTTCAGAGTTCCCATTTCTCAGGCACAAGATTGGACTAGATGTACTCCGAGGGCGCCCCAGCTGTGAGATCTGCGTTCTGAGTCACATCATCTCTCTGGACCTCAGTTTCCTCACCTGAGTAATGGGGGCAAGAGCGTGTCCCCAGCCCTGCCTGGCCCAGCTCCCAGGGCAGCCGTGAGCAGCTGGTGTGGCCTGTGCATGAAAGCAGGTAGAAAGTAGGTAGAGCAGCATGCAAACAGGATGTGCACGTGCCACCCACACTCTCCATGTGTGTCTGAGAGGGGAGGGCATCTGGAATGCATCTGGGACCGATGTCCCTCCCTGCCCTGCTGAGCCCCGTGACCTTGGGCCACTCAGTTCACCTCTCAGAGCCTCCGTTTCCTCACCTGCACAGTTGGGTTACAGTGCCCGCCTCACAGTCTCAAAGACAGCACCGAACACTACAGATGCGGACGGTGTCCGAAATCTAGCAACAGAAGGACCCCCCATTCCAACCCTTTTTCCAGAGAGGAGATTGAGGACCCGGCAGAGGAAATAACTTGACCAATGTCAAGTTCTCAAGTTCCCCGTGTTTCAATTCTGCATTACTCCGTCTTACAAGTGCCCTTGATTTTGAAACTAACAAGGTAGAAATGATAGAAATCTGCAGGACATTGCATGCTTCAAATACGACTTTGCACTGTCCTCACACACCCTCACAGTATTCTGGAGATGCCAACATTTCGGCATCCACGTCAGAAATGGACTCTCACACCTTAACGTAACACAAAAGTCTCTTGCCAGGCCACCTGCCCTAGTTTGCAATTCAGTATATGTAGTCAGTATATAAATATAATTACAATGCGTGGATATTTTTTAAAGAAATAATCATTTAAAAATTTTTAAATGAAAACATCACTATCCTGACGAAATCGTCTCTACAGCAAAGACAGAAACCTATAAAAAGGATCATGAGGCCACAAAAGGCCCATTACCACCTAGTGACAGCATGCTTCAGAGAAATACTGGCTCAGCATTTCCAGGTTGAGGTAAACTGTTAAGGTTGGCTTTGAAAATGTTAGCTCAGAATGATAGGAATACTAATACTAGCAGCTAACACATATGTAGCCCATGTTATGTGTCACATGTTGATTTCTTTAAACTTCATTATTCTCCCCATTTTACAGATGAGGAAACTGAGGCCAAAGAGGTTAAAGCAATTTGCCCAAAACTAGCACATGACAGAACAAGAACTTGAACTCAGGCTGTTTGTTCTAGATACTGTAGTCTTAACTACTAAGATATAAACCACCAATTGCTGGTGTCAGGTTCTCAAACACGTGATTTTTTTCCAGCTCCCCTTGCCAGGAACAAAGAGGAGAGTGGTACCTGAGCTCTTATCCAGGAAGTAGGCCAGGAGGCACCGCATGACAGCCTGGTGGCAGATCACCAGTACATTTTCTTGCCGTTCTAGCTCCATTATAACTGGCTCCAGACGCTGAACCAGATCCTCATAGGACTAAAAATAAGAGAAATACTTGGGTAAGAAAGGGAGATAAGGTACATTTTCCCAGAGCAAAGGAACTCAAGACTAGGAATCAGGAAAACTTGGTTGTGGTGCCAGTTTAGTTGTTGACCCAGCATCATGACCTTAGGAAACTCACTTTTTTCTTAGGGTCTTAGTGTTCTCATCTATGAAATGGGAAGGCAATCAATATATTTGACTAGGTATTAGTAACAATAATAAAACTTCCCACTACAAAAATTCCTAGAAAAGCAAGATGAAATGAATGCCTGCACTGCTGAATTTTCAAGAAATAAAGGAAACATTTTAATTATAGGGATCCAAAATGAAGAAGAACTTGGAAAAAAGAGTGATAAGTGAATGTAGAAGCCACAACTGCCCTGGGGGTATTTGCCTTTCACACTATCCAAGAGGCTTGAGTTTTTTGTGTTCTTTTTAAATTAGTTTCAGGTGTACAACACAGTGCAATAGTTATATTTTTACCCCTCAAAGTGACAACCCCTCTCCCCCAATTTGCCGCCTCACTCCCACCTCCCCCGATATCATACATATCTATTACAATTCCATTGACTCAACTCCCACACTATACTCCACATCCCGAGGATTGAGTTTTTAAAACCTCATAGATACAGGAGACAAACCTTAGGTGTGCACAAGGTAGGGAGTAGGGACTGAAATTCTCAAATAAACCTGAGACCCTTGAAGGACTACATTCTCAGTAAAGCATAAACTAGAAAAAAATGTATATACAGGCAAAGGAAAATAATAAGAACATGTATCATTCTCTGCTTGACTCTTAGTAAAAAGAAAATAATATATAGGAAATGCCTCCTATAAGAATGTGTAACGACAAGCCTACCCTCAGGTGGGTTAGTGGTTCAGAATTACAGTATCCATGTGTTTTAGAAAATGCTAAGTTGAGAGTTTAATAAAAAGTGATTTCAAATTGTTAACTCCTCGGAGTATCTGGAAGAAGCAAATGAAAATTTTCTCTGGATTCCCTCAACTCAGATTGCATGGGATTCCCACCGATAAATTTTTGCCAAACTACAGCTCATATAACACATGAGGAAAATAAGGTATCATGAGTGAAAATAAGCAGAAACAACAAAAGGAGAAACTTAAAAACTTATGATAAAGGATCCAAAATATAAAACAAATATACTTGACATTTTTAAAGAAATAAAATATGGAGTAAAAAATGTAAAGAAGAAACAAGATGCTACCAAATATATGATGTAGATTTGAAAAAATATTTAAATAGAATTTCTAGAAACAAAAAGTATATTCATTATAGCTGTTACAATTCCACAGACTGTATTTCCTATGTTGTACTCCACATCCTGTGACTATATATATATATATATATATATATATATATATA